TTAAATAATAAAATTTTGTGAAGTTGTTACAATCTTAAAACTAAATATTTAATGGCATTTAAAAAATAAGTTTTTTTTAAACCACATTTATAATAAATATTTCTCTAAAATAATACTTAATATTTTATGCAAATAAACATGCTAATATTTTTATTTTTAATTTTCTTTTATAATTATTATCAATTTAAGTTTTTTAAACTAAAAGAATATTGTATTTTATTGAATATTTTTTATGAATGTATAAATCTAAACTATTATAAAATAAAAGCTAAAATACATATTAATAAGGTATAAATATAATTTTTGGGGTCTTTTATTTAAAAAGGATCATTAAAATAATAAAAGAAATAAAATTTTATTTGAAATAAATTTATAATACAAAATGTGATAAATTCGTCATAAAATTAAACATAAAAAATAAACTTCAGATTAAGGTTGACTTTGGAATATTTTTTTTGGTGTATCTATAAAACTAATATTTAAAAAAGATTGTTAACAAGCTATTTGTGTAATGAATTTATAACATATATTTTGTATGAATAAAACACAAACTTCAAAAAAATGAATGCTTAAACATATAGAATGTTTTTAGTTTAATTTTTCATACTACTTACTTGTAACAAACACTTACTCAAAAGAAATTAAGACTGATTTCATTTGTTAAATCATAAAAGAAGAAAAAAAAATCACAAAAAAATTGCAAAGAAACAAAACATATGACAAAGAGTCCTTCTTGAACTTTGTAATTTAAGTTTGAAATTTTCGAAATATGTGAAATGAAAGGAAATTAATCAGGATTGACTGTATGTTTTACCAGTAAAACATCTTCACTTTAATCATGTTCTTTACATGTTATGTAGATTGTCAATGTTTATTAATGCATATCACACTTTCATACTTTAATGACTTTAGTAACATAAATCCAAAAGCATACAAGTGTAATAAAGTTGTTTTAATAACACCAAATTAAGAGTGTACATTGCAATATTAAAAAATAAGAAAACAATAGGAAAGATTTTGAATTATTCGTTTTCTTGTTGAAAAGTTCTTCAAGTACACATGCAAGTGTAATGAATTTCTATCTATCTATCTATATATATATATATATATATATATATTGATTAGGTCATAAGTAGAGATTTTTCTTTTCCGAAAATTCCTCATTGTTAAACAATGAACAAACAAACGCCCTTCCTTTATACACAAGTGTGGCTAATTTTGGCTTAACCCCTTCCACTTACAACAAAGCACACCTAGATTCCTTCATGTATCTAGATTCAGATGAAATCAAAATTAGGGGCCAATAATTTTAGTTTTAGGTAATTCCCCTATATTCTCCATGTTGCTATCACTTTTATAAACTCATAGGTGAGTGGGACTGTAGAGACTTTTCAAGCCATTTGCTAGTTTTCTTCTTTTTGGATTCGACAAAATATCATTCATTAAATTTAGAGTATAAGAATGTGTTTGTCCTGATCAACCTCTAAATTTGGCTGATATTAGAGCTAAGCCCTCGCCAACTTTAGCGGTCAAACCGTGCACAGCTTTTATTTCCCCACAGTTTCAATATCTTCATTTCTTTGATTCTCCTGCATTGTTTTATTTTATTTTATTGTTTATTTACCATTTCTCTTGTTCTTCTCTTCTTTCACCACTTGTAGGTAGCCATTCTGTGCCAAGTGTAGAGGAAGTTTTGTTGCCTTTCTCCTTAAACACCTTGGTAAGGTTTGCTCTAATTAAGTGAGTAGATTAGAATTTATCAATTTCCTTAGTTGCTCATTGATAAATTCCTTTTGCAGGGCCTTGCATGGGAATAAACAATGTGCTATTTTTGACACATGTGAGTTCAAATTTGTAGCTATTGAGGATTAAAAAAAGTCATTGCAAAACAATGTGTCAAAAGGATAAAGTTGGCTCTAAGTCTGGTAATTTTTGACATTACTCATATGCAATTGAATTGTTGCTTAATAAAATTAAAAATAGAAGAATATATCTTGGACTTGCAACTAAGATAACACAATAATGCATCAAAGAATAATCTATAAGTTAAATTAGAAATTAGGCTTTTGAAACTTAAGAAGAAAGAATCTAATGGAAAACCAAAAATGAAAAATGAAAATGTGTAAATTTATAATAGATAGACTTAAGTAACCTACGGTTTAAAATATATCACTTGATAGTAAAATCTTTAAAACTTAGATTATTTTAATGTATAAACATTATACCTAAAAGTATATATATATATATATATATATATTATCATAGTACTTAGAATATACGTGTGTTGTACAATTTTGAGGGAAAATTAAATCCCAAAGTGATATTAATGACCTTTGGATTTTGATTTTCAAATTCTATAAAATAATATAAAAAAATAAATATAAAGGGTTATGTTTATTTATTTAAATACTATCATATAAAATAAAATAAAAATTATTAAATGACTTTGGTAGAAAATTATGAGTTAAAAGAATATATCATGATTCAAAAGATAAATAGTATTACTTCTTCAAAATACTATTTTTTTTTGAAACACAATCTTATTATTATTATTATTATTATTATTATTTAAATTTAAATTTAAAAAATTTGATGTAATTTAATTTAATTTAAAATTTTAAAATATCATAAATATATATATATATATATATATATATATATATATATATATCTTAAATTGATTTAAGTTTTTAATAAAATTTATCCACCCATTTTAACCATCATAAAAAAATAATGTCTTCTAGCTATATTTTTCTAGTATTGGATCTGCAACTACTAAAAATCAACCACATTCATCATAATTACCATATTCTTCATCAAATGTGGGTCTATTTAGTAAAATCATGGATCTATTTAACATTCTTCAATATATATATATATATAAATAATTTTTTTAAACTATATTATAATCAATCTTTAATACATACTCTATGAATCATTATAGAGCATAAAAAGCTAAAGGCTTATTACTGATGACATTTGTGTTGTTATTAGTTGATAGAGTGGATGTATTAGAATAAAAGTGTTTTAAGTTATAATTAAAAATGAACAATGCCAACAAGATAGTAATGTTGTATATACATAGTTTATATAATGTTGATGATATATGATTATTATTAAGGTTTTTTAATATTATTAATGCAAGAGATCTATAAATAACTATAAAAATATATATATGGTATAGTTTTTCAAAAGTAGAATATAAGATAAAATATAAATAAATAAAAATATATTAATATTCTAATTACATTTTTATCATTATATATGTATATATATATTAAATAAAGAAACAACATATATGTATAGATTGTAATTTATTTATTTTTAAAAATAAAACCAAAATAGATTATATTTCTATAATAAAAAATAAAATTAATGATTATATTTTATTATTTAAAAAAATAAGTCAATTAAAAAGTTTTATTTTATTTTATTTTTTATTTTTACAAAACATAAATATAATATTATTTTAATTCTTTATCAACTTTTTAAGGAATTGTTTTAGATTATTTAAGATAAATATAGAGCAATCACTTTTTAATATGCCTTAGAAATATTGAAGGCATCATTTTTACATATGATGTGCCCACATATGGTTACCATCTTGTATATATTAAAATTTAATAGAAAAGCACATAAATTATACTACTCAAGTTTAGAAATGAATGTATGTATATGTGCATATATATATATATATATATATATATACATATAACATTTCAAATTTACAAAAAGATTCATTATTTTGTTATGAATAATTTATTTATTTATATTTTATTTGAATTTTACATATTATGTATCTTTGGGTGATAAATCAGTAGAAACTTGGGTTTTCTGATCAAAGATTGAAAGGATCAATCTACCAAACATATGAAAACTACTTTGACAAAAACATACCTTAACAATGAAAACACAACAATATTACTAATCATAGAATAAATTACTACAAAGATTTTAAATATATATATATATATATATATATGAAAAAGTAAATGAGGAAAGAAGGTAGTATTTTCACTTAGAGGTAAAAAAACCAAATAATTTTATTTGTGTAGCACACGACTGCCAAACTAAAAAAAGGTAAGAACACTTATTATAATTGAATGAGAGTTTTCCAAGAGGTAGCAAATATTATGTTAAGGGAGTCGGTCAAAGCACGGAACATGAAGAAGAACCGCTCACTCCCCCCCCATAACAATTCTCGGCAAATTTACTTTTACTTTTTCATGCTTTAAACTTTTTCACAACTTTCTTACCGTGGAAGCAATTTTTTTTGTTTATTTATTTATTATTTATTACCTCTGCCCGCTTTCAATTTCCATCACTGTGGTCAAACGTCCCCATGTGCCCGCCTTTCGAGGCCTTGACCCGCTCTGACTCTTTCCCTGTCACCCCTCTCTTTTCACATGTGACCCGGCCCACATGCCCCGGCTCAACCCGGGATGTGGTGCTCTCTTGGATGGATGACTTTATGACATGGACTCCTCATCCATCGACGAGTCTCGCATGTTCGGATCCCTCTAGGTCTACGTGGACATAGTCCAGGTGGGGGAGGAAGCCATGTCCTACGTGGCACCTATCCTCTCATGTCTCTTGTGAAACATGAAGACTTCCCACCACTCCTCGCAGACGTGGCACCCGAGCATACGACTCGTGGATGAACGCGGGGTTCACGTGGCGGTGCTTGATTGTTTCAATACTCCCAAAGTCCAACTTGGGTTTGAAGAAGACTTCATGGGTTTGTAATGCGGACAAACTCCATCACACACAAAGTGACACAACATGATTGTGTGTTTGGATAAACTAAGGCATGGTGGGAATCATATCTTCGCTCTCATAAATCCTCCCCTTGGAAATATGATGACCTAGAACCTAACCCAAAAATCAAACCCTAAGCCTACGTGAATATTATAAAGTAATTAGATTCCATTTACACTATCTCGTCGCGATGAAATTAGGTTAAACGTTGGCGCTAATATTAGTGAGAATGAGCAAGGCACCGTCGGAATAGGGAGGGGCAGAGTAGGAGGGCGATGCTTGCTTGCTTGCCGAGTGGGGCGGGGCACCTGAAGATGGCAATGATCAGAGTGCTGCGACAATTCTATACCGCGTCTTGTTGCCTATCTGATGATGGACTGCGATCTGGATCTGCGCAGGGTCTGTTTGCATCCATCATTCGATGGCCTGCTCTCTCGCTTTTGCAGCAGCAGCCGAAGTCGAGGTTTAGCTTTGACAGAGAGTGAAATCAGAAAAAAAACAAACAGGGTGGAAAAAGACGAAGAAACGACGCCGTAGAGTAAGTAGTAGGAAGGAATCCGGGGTGCTCGGTCTTGATGACCGCGGTAGTGGCAGTGCCAGTGGCAGTGGCGCCTTCGTTTATGTTCTTACAGCAGGGCAGGCTCCATGCTTCACCTGAGCGAGCCGCGTTTCGTTGCCCATCCTTTTCTGTCCATCTTTGCAACAATTACCAGGTTTCCTTCTGCGCGCTGCGACCAGGCAGGCATAGCTGGATTTTGGTCTGCGTGGCGTTCAAACTAAGCATATTTCTCGGATTTCTGGAGGAGTGTGATTCGATCGAAGCTTTTTCGAACGTCGCTTCTTGGATGCTGTGATGTTACGGAAAAGAAATACCCCGTGTACTGGTCTGGCGGATGGTCTTTATTTATTTTTTAATTTTTTTTCACGTGTATTGAATGAATTAGAGTTGATGAATCCCGGTTGATGTTGGTTGAGTGACGAGTTGGTTGGGAAAGAGCATAGAGAGAGGTTGAAGAAGTCGTTACCAGACGATGAGAGAGGTAGGTTGAGACAACGAGTCGCAGATGGCGGAAGAGAAGGGCTGTGTAGTCTTGCACTGTTGATGTGGAGACCACAAGAGACGACTGGGACACAAGCGCCAGGGTGGAGTCCAGTCGAACGGGTGGCTTGCCGTTTTCTTTTTCATTTACTGTATTCAGCGGAGGGTGGAAGTCGACGCTGCAGAGGGCATGAGGCAGGCGGTCGTCGTCGTCGTTGTTAGTGTTGTTTTTTACCGGTTTTTCTCCTTAAAATCCTGGTCAAACTGGGAAAGGGACCCACAGAGGCCGATCCTCTCAATTGCGATTGCTTGCATTGCTTTGATTACGGACTTTCGGGATTAGTAGACAGCGTCTGTTGTGCGGGTGGAGTGGTAGATTGAATTCCTGTGCACGTGCAATACAAATCTTGGTTTGAATTGGATTCCTCTTCTTATCCCTTCTTCTTGTCCCTTCTTCCTTTGTTGTTTTCTCACCTTCTTCATCTTCTTCGTTCGTTCCTGTCTCTCTTATTTATTCATTAAACTTCTTTCGTTTTAATTGATTTTACCTTACGTTGTAACGTTTTTTTCCTCCCCTGCGCTGAATTTCTAAGGATTTGCTGCGAATTTGGGTGCGATAGGCGGAGTGGGGGAGAGGGAGGTCAAAGATAAGCCAAAGAATTCGTTGTTGTAATGAGCATTTCATGGAGGAGCTGTACATACCGTCTGCGGTGTTGCTCTCTATGCTCGGGTGTGCTTGGCTTCTCACCGTCCAAGCTACCTCTGTGAATAATTTTGCTTCGAAATCGTCTACCCTGAGCTGATACAAGCTTAATTTTCGCTTCTGTACTTCGCATTTTCGCTGATCAATCACTCCAGAAGTAGTCCATCTCCATCGTGGAGAAACGGGCACACGCGTTTCGGGAGTTTCCAAATACCTCGTTTCTTGTTCTCGCTACGGCTGTGTATTCTTGTTTCAAATTTCAAGATTGTGGCTAGGCGTCGATTCTCACTTCTGATATTCAAGAGCTGTAGCGCTCATTCTTATTCTACGCCTTCTCCATCATTGCCACGGATTTATGTAGGTGGTGTACGCTGGACTGTACATCCAGAGTTTCTTATAGAGCAGCTGTGTACATAATCGGTCGCCTCCCCCCTTTTTTTTATTTATATTTTTTTTAGGTTCTTTTCTCATCTATTCTTTGCTGTTGCATGTTTTTATGAAAGACTGGTGATCCTGCTGGAGTATCGTGCAATTCTGGCTTTTAGCTATTGGTAGTCCTTGTATAGTTTTGGTAACCAATTGAGCATCCTTCACTTAACCACAGCCAGGGATGAAACTTTCAGTCTGCCTCGGTCTACAGATGGTTGTGGGATATGTAAGGTCACGCGCACTGCTGAAGTAGGGATTTGATGCTGGCCATCATCCGGATTCACTCAGAGTTTGAAGGGGTCAAGTGTGAAGACTTTCGACTCTACATATTGCTACATGAAGAAAGTTCCAGTTCCTCGAAAACAGAAGATTTTTGTTACTGATAAGAGCATGCATAGACGTAGTAGGAGCCTGGGCTTTTATCAAGCAAAAGTATTTGTGATCTGACGCTCGTGTCGACACTGTTTGGATAAGAAGTATTCTTCAACTTCCTAGAGCAGCTGATTATGCAATAGAAGCTATGGGGATGGAGGACAAGGCGTGGATAATGGATGTAGGCAAATGCATAAGGCATAGCGGCGCACAACCTGGGGGTGGCATATGTGCAGTGTGTTTACAGGAAAAGCTGATGCTGCTATGGCGGGGTGAAGGGAACTCAAAGTGGAACACAGAAGACTTTTCCATCACGCCGCCTCTAGTCCATGATAGTTGTCATACCCCCCTTGCGTGCGATTCATCGGCTGCTAAAGCACACCCTGTTTACAAATCAGGATCAGCTTGCTTTCCTCTTGTCTTTCGCATCCAAAGTTTTCAACGAGATGATGTGCACGAGTCTAGCAAGTCCAGCAAGGGTTTGGAACGAGAAAAGATTGACAGGGGTTACTCCGGCTTGGATGTCGGCGACGCTGACGATCATTCGCACCAATTTTCTTGCGAAATCAAGTCAATCATGAAAGATTTGGCAGCTCTGCACGAGAAGAAGAAGTTGGAGAAAGCAGAGAAGAGACAATCTGGAATCGAAAGTGGGTGTATCTCGGCCCGCCGCCACCAATATGAGGAAGCTGCTGCTGAGTTGTCACAGGTCAGTCTAACTCCTACTCATTTCTCCTATGATTTTATTCTCCTAGTATGAAGCCCGGATTGCGTGCATTTGTACTCAATCTCATCACCCTGCGAACAGCACATATCCTTCGCTTAGGCTAGTATTATCAAGAATAATCACGTACTTTGTGATGTAGCCAAGAAGCATATGTTTGATAGTCCTCTAAACTAATCGCCGGAGAAATACGTGACTACGGCACAAGAGTTACGTAGTCAGTCTCTGGATTACCACCGCACTCGTGTGAGAGGACTTGGGCAGCTACTGTTGCTGCACAGGAGTTCGGATGAAGTCGCCGATGAATCCATCTCGTCGAGTTCGGAGCAGCACTTTGCTTGCATTAATAAATATCTCATCACCATGTGAACACTGATTTTTTTTTTGGTTTGCACAGGCCTCCGTTTCTAAAGCTCCTGCTTTAAGAGTTACAGATGCAGTGCCTGCTGATTATCATGTGCCAAAAGCTAAAGCAAGCATTATCGAAGATGAGGTCGAGAATGGAAGACTCGCCAAGGCTACTTTATGCTTCAGCGCGTTGTGGCCAGGTCAACTGCGATCAAAATTGAACATGAAGTGGGCAAAAGTTTTGGTAAACCCAGTATTATCCAGTAACAAGATAGTCCCTAGCAAGTCAGACTTGGCAAAGACAGTAAATGGACGTTCCAAAGTCGCCGTTGAAGAGACAGTAGGGGAGACAGTACGGGATTGCGAGACTTCTGGGGTGCTGTTAGGTAATACTAACGATGTTATCGGAAGAGCTCGGGGTACAGATTCTCGGGTTATGCCAAGTTCAGCTACGGCACCCCTACCGCCCCGACATGTGCAACGTACCGCAGATGAAGGTTTGTGTGCTGACAAAGTCCTTTTAATAAATGATTCGAAAGTTGTGGATTGTTGCAGTTTAAACTTCACCTTTTCTCCTTAGATTTAGTAAGAATACCATAGCCAATATTGAAAAGATCATTCGATTCGGTAACTGGTTCAACACTTGCGCTGCACCACAATGTTCAAAGGCTTTTCCTTTTCTTAGTTACTTGTATCTGACTGGTGCAATCATGGTTTGCTGGAGGAGCTAATTGTGCCGTTTAATGGTTCTAAATTATGCCAATTCGCGTTTAATCATTTTATGCAGATGGTTGTGGGTTGGAGATTGACAACGAGACAGCCATGCGAATGGAAGCATCTCGGATTACCGTATTGACATGGTTAGAGAGTTTACCTAGTCCAAAGGTGGTTCACCTAAAAGAGCAGAATTCTATGGGGTTTGCTGATGATCTTTCCTTGGGCAATGGGGTGCTTGAAATGTGCGATGAAGAGGACGTGGAGTTTGATTATCAGCCATACGAACCAGGAATGGACAGGGTTGAGTTAGGTGACGCCTACGACTCCATGAATCCCTTCGAGCCTGTTGATGCTTACAACCACATCAATTCTTTTGGGATGTTTTTGCGAACAGGCTCATCACATGTTTATGCTCCAAGTCGAATGGTTGATGTTGAGATAGCAGCTCAGTAGAGCCGAACTGTCGCTCATCACCTATCATAGCGGCTACCGAACTTGGCTTGGTGTACTTAGACGACACTGGGCGGATTCTGTTCCTAATTGACACGATTCAAACTCTTTTTCCTGGTGGATTGGGATTCGAAGCTGGCTGTAGCCTATGGGGCTATTCTTGATAAGTACGACAAGATCAACGACTGTAGGAGTGGACAGGAGTGTAGGAGTATCATATTTGATCTTATCCATCTTCTTTTCAATTTATCTCTGGTTGTATGCCCGAATTGAGCATGACCCAGAGCAGAGGAATTGCCCCACATCTGTACAAAACAACATCGGTTTGGCAGCACTTCGTTACGGGGACTCGTTAGGAATCTGGTTGCGGAAGTCAATGACAGTCATCTCCTCGTCCGGTGCGACGATATCTAGACTGTGTCGTCGCAGAAGCTTGATTGAGGTTGGTTTTCCACTCGACCTTGGGGTTCCGCAGCTGGCTGATCTAGATATTCTTGGAATTTTAGCTGTGAGTTAGCCCGGTTTCTAAGTATATTCTCACGGACCATGTGCTATACACTTGAGAGACGCGTATTTTTTAATACGGTGTTGTGCAACAGAAACTGAGTGTTCACACAATCCTTTGACAGTTGATTACTTGTAAATGAAATTTCCAGCGCGGCAGGTGTTTCGCACTTGCCCTCTTCAGGAGGATGTATACTCGCAGACATTTTTCTTGCGTGTTCTCTTTGAAAGCGTTTAAGTGACGTTCCTGCTGAATACCGCTCACATCACAACCTCTGAGTGTGACTGCAAGGGGATAGCGCTTTCATGTATGTAGTTGTGCGAACCGGTGCATTGGTTTCCTGGTGTCAGTTTTTGACCTCGAATTGACTATCCTTCGAAAATATCCAATTTTGGGGCTGTCTCTTACAAGGTCCCGCATCCTACATCTGATGCTTTTTCGTGAACTTAACGTTATTTGAACCTACCGAATCATCCAACATAGCTCATTTGCCAGACGCAGCATATATTCTCATATTCATTAGGGCTACAAGGAAGGTTGGGATGAACACTCTAGTGATATTATAGTTTAGGCAAGCAAATGATGATTTTTGCGACTAGAAAATGAAGTCTTGACTTTTCGGTGGGAGGTCGCAGCAAGCCAAGCATCAAAAAGAACAACTCCAAGCCTACAGACGTTTAACGTCGTCCTCAACTTGCGGTGCAAGCACCGTAGTGATTGCGTCTCCTGAACACAATTTGTCAACCCCCTGCGATTTTCTAATTTAATTTATTTTCGAAACTATTTTTTCAACTATCGTCGTAATTTAAGTACTGCTGCCGACCAGACAACCGCGTCGCTCTAGTGCTTGCGCTCAACAGTTCGTCGCAAAGCTTCCAAAGCAAGACGATATCCACAGGGTATTAACACAAACAGACGTGCACGTCATAAAGCGTTTTGGGCTTGGTCGATGAGTCCTTCAATTTTAATCCTATCCCAAAATGGAGGGTTTGTTTCTTTGTTTTTTTTTTTATCTTTTATTTTTTGTTTTGACAGAGCAGGGGTATACATAATGCATTGGTTTGGGTTAAGTACAAGTCATTCATATATCTAATACCCTAATGACAAGGTGATATTGAATCACTGACAGTAAGGATCAATACATGTTGAGGTTAGTGAGTCATAGTACTAGTACGCACATTTATACCACCTTGTATTTCACATAATTATTTTGCTCTGTTAAAAATTTAGTGTTTCATTTGCCATTCAAACTCATTCTCACCTATGTAAGAAGGATTCACCTTTATCGACTTGATTGTCTGGTTTGTCGCAAGTGAGTCTCTATGACTTACAACCATAATCAATGAGGTTTGATCATATTTTTGTTCTTACTGGTTTGTCATACCATTCTCCTCCATTGAAGAATAGACCGTTGCATTGCCTCCATATTGCCCACACATGTAATTCTCTTAACAGAGACCATATAGTTTTGAATCTCTTAAACTTGGGTGGGATGTCTACTGCAAAAATTGATTCCTGTTGTGAAAAAGTTAGTCATGGATAGAACTTTTTAGTGCTAGTGGTCAGTTTGTACACAATCAGGGTGGCCCAGTCCCAAACTCTTCTTATTTGTGGGCATTTTCAAAACCTGTGGAGAATAGTTTCTGAGAGCACTAATTTGCAGAGAGGAGATATACATCTTTGTTCGATTGTGCTCTCTGAAGTGTTAACATGGCTTCAATGCGTGTCCTCAAATTTTAAGGATTACTGCCGGAAATTTTCATCGTCAGCCAATGGTGGAAGCTAACATAAGACTTTTGATGAATGTCCAGAAGCAGGTGAACTCACACACTCTCATAGAATCCGACATATCGAAATTGGCTAAGCAATGCAACAGTGGTCCACTTAACACGCTAATGTCACCACCGTCATGTCCACCTTATTATGAGGAGAAGAATCTCAACATTCAAACGTTGACCGTGAACCTTTTGAGATAAATAGAAGCTGCGAATCATTATGGACATGCATGAGACCTGCGCTTGACACACTTGCCATGTCGCCCCGTTAATCAGGATTTTGGGAACTGTCGAATTTTAAAATCTAGCACCCATTTGTATATTGTGAATCTTTTCACTGTTGGGTGTTGAGACTTTATGCTCGTGTGATTTGACAAGTCCATGAATCTGTGGGGCTTCCACATATGTACGAATTTTTTGGGGTTGAAATTTTAGGAATTGACTGTGTGAATGCTCATGCAGCGAAGGATTCAATTTGAAAGCAGATTGACTTTTATACAAATTGCAAATTTCTATAATTCTAACTCTGCTACATATTTTTGCGATGGCCTTTAATTTACTCAAATAAGAGGTCAGGCTTCATTTCGCCGAAATCCCAAATGAAGTTTCGACCTCATAGCATTCAGAAGAAAAGGCGTGATTTGAGCTCTCGGAGGCAAAGAGCATTGTCACGGAATAAGACAACGGCAGCGGCACTGTGGAGACGGAAAGTGAAGGAGTATGACCACCCTGAATTCTCTTAGCTACTCTGCATCATAATGCTGTAGCGTCGAAACTTTTCTGCACGAAATTGCAAGCTCTGGACGACAAATTAAGGTGAATACCTTGGAAAGATTGCCATGTCTACTGCTATTCACCAGCCCATCACTTTCGTAGTACTGCAGAAAATAGATACATAAAATGACAACGAGAACGATCATTTAACCTCCAGGTCTATCAAGCTGCTTTCTCAGCGTATAGCACAGGTTGCTGAAAACAAATGCAACAGTTCACTTTGCATGTAGCGAATTGTCTGCAAGGAGATAAGAGGCTTATCAGTCTAGCATAATGGCTAGGTTCGGTAAGTAAAGAGTTGGAACACCCTATACTCACATGCATCGTCAATCAACCCAAACGTTTACCTTGCGCAGAGCTGCAGCACAGTTTTCGGAACAGAGAAAAGCTTAACTGATGTCAATATCCTCCTATCGGACACAGCATGTTCTGCGAGGGTGCGCTTCATTTACCCATCTGTGTGGCTCGCCATCATGTGGCACCGATCAGTGTCAGATTCACGCAGCAAGTGAAGTAGAGCATCAGAGCAAACGCAGCGAACGATGAGCTCATCCAATCGAGTCACTTGGGATCCAGAAACTCTCTCCAGGTCAGGTGCGCCTACTATCGAGCTCCGAAAAGCCGCCGTCTACACTAAATCAGCAAACCCACTAACGTGCTTCATCTCGACCTCACCACTAAACTCATGGATCAACAATCCGAGCTGGCCTCGAACTAGTGGACCCTCCTATGGCGTCGGGATAGGCTCTAGGATTTGGGTGAATAGATGAGTGCCAAACGGTTGAAGAATCTGCCATCACCTTCCCGAAGCTCCATGGACGGATCTGCACAAGTTGTGTGGTAGTGGACATGGCATCTCATTGGATCGGATGGCATCCATCAATTACTAGATTGATTATGTCTCTTTTGCTATATTTGTAAGATTCTTGGTTGGTTTTTATGTGCATACACTAATATTATATCCACACCAATGTACAACATATTTCAACCTATTTTGTTACCTTGAATCTAAGATTTTTTAAACTTCAAACTTTTGATTATTCTCTACTTTTATAAGATTACTGTGTAGTTGCAGTGCTTCAATCTAGATATTTCTCTGTTTTCTAATTTGCAGTGACTTGCTGTCTTGAAAGTTTCATAGATCACCGTTTGATGTTAGTTGTTTTATTTGTTTGTTATTGTGACCTCTATGGAAGGAGTTTCTTAATGGTAAATTAATCCACTTAATTGAAGATTGGGAGGAAAGTGAATGGAAAAAGAGCAGAAGAAGAATTCATCAACCAATTTGGTTAGTTCATTTTTTTTTTTTTTTTTTTTTTTTTTTCTTTTCTTTTCTTTTCTTTTCTTTTCTAAAAGATTTAAATTGAAATATTAAGACTTAAAGTTGTCTTTATTTTTTTAAATTATGAATTTTGTAAAAGAGATTTGGAAAATCTATTTTTGCAGAAAGTTGTTATGATTTCAAATTTAATTTTATAATAAAAGCTATATAAATTAGAAAGCTATTTTAAAAAGACATTATTAATTCTTGTTACTCTAACTAGATAAGCTTGTTGAATAAAATTGCAACTATTAGGTATTTTTAAAAAACTAATGTATGATTTTATTCATGTAAAACTTTACAAATCAATATTAAAAAAATAAAAAAATAAAAAATTATCAATTTTGATAGTATAGGTTTTTCAAATTAATTTAATAATATTTTTTTTAAAATAATTATTAATTTAAAAAAAATTGGTTTCTTTTAAATATTTTTTTTATAATTTTAATAGATATATTTAGTTTAAAATAAATTTAGAATTAAAATAGTATTCTAATTAGATTCAATCATATTATAAAATAAATTTAATTTAATGAAATAGTAATATAATATTTCATAAAAATAAAAATTTATAATATCTTGTTTATTTTTTTATAATAAATAAATTATAAAAATCAATAATAATATTTTTATTTTAGATATGATTAATTTATAATAATATAAGAAATTAAAATTTTTAACTTTAAATTTAAGTTTAAATGTTAAGTTTAAATGATAAGTTTAAATGTTAAGTTTAAATTTGTAACTTTTTAAAAACTTAACAATTGTGTTAAATAAATTGGATGCAACTTGTTTTATATTATCTTAGATTATTATAATTTTTAATTCTTAATATGGTTTTAAAATAATTAAAATATATATTTTAATTTACAAAACTATAATATTTATAGTAATAATTTTTATTACTTTGATATAATATTTTTAATAGTGAATTATTAGATGGACACATCTTTTTTAGTGCATGCTTACTCTACTTTCTTCTTCTCCATGCTACATTTCTACAAAATATAACTAGTTTTTATTTTAAATGAAAATTTTTAAGTTTTAATTTAAAATTTAAGAATAATAAAAATAAAATAATATGATTTTTATATTATTATAATTAAAAAATAAATTTAGAGAAAGTTTTTAAAGACAAAAGAATTAAAAGAAAAGACAATATAAACTCACAAAAACCAAATAGACAAGGCATATCAAATTTTGATATTAAAGTAATAAATATAACATTAATTATGATTTCAAATCAAAACCAATTATTTTTTTGTGCAGGTGTGAAGTGCTATAAGATGTCTATATTATAAAAGATGGATGTTTACTTAGTAGTTCTCTTTAAATATTTAATTAAAATTCTTGTTTTATTTTAAAAACTTGAAATGATGTAATTTTCATACACAAAAGCATTACAAAATATTTTCTTATTTTTTTCTTATTTATTTATTTATAATTCCATAATTTAATAACTTCATTAAATAGATTTAAATATCTTAATTTTTTTAGAACTAAATAAATTTTATATTGCTAAAATATCACTACTTCTTTAAGTTAATTTAAAGTTGATTATTATTTAAAGGAAAGAAGTAATGTTTTAAATTATTTATCTATAATGAAATTAAATATCTCATAAAAGATAATTTTTAGAAACTAATTCATACTTCAAAATTTGTTAAGCATTATAATGATGTCTAAGCAATCAAAATTTAATTTCTTAAAAATAATCAAGACCTTTAAAACATTAAAATTAAGTATTTAAATTAAATATTTAAATTGATTTTTGATTTTCTTGAGTGGTGACTAATTTTTTTGACCTTGATAATATTATCCAATTTTTTTTTAAAAATAATTAAAAATAAAAATTTTAACTTTTAGTATTTTTAGAATTTGTAAATTAGTTTCATTCATTTTAAAACCTTACCTAATAAAATTTATATTACATAAACTATTAACTTAAAATTATTGTAAAGTAAATCAAAATCTATTGATTTTTTTATTAATTTATTAATTTATTAATTTTTTTGCATTCATGTGGTACTAAAATAATACTTTAGTATTAAAAATGGCATTGGATTAGAGATTTTTTTTCTTTAATGATTCCAATTGATAAAGTAGTATTTTTTTAATTAAAAAATATGATATTTTTTTGTTTTATTGGAGGGCAAAATTGGATATCAGATTTCATAGGAGAATTTTTTTTGACAAATTTGAATAGATGATGACTTTGTGAAAGCTTTACAAAGTTAGGATTGTTTTAAATGACTCTATATTTTGCAAAATAGAAAAGAGATTATATTTTGATGAATTGTATGAGTTTAGTAACATATCTATAAGTAAAACTGTTTGAATTTGTGAAAAAATCGACTTTAAATGTTTGTTGCAAACTTCAATTAAATTAGATTGTGAACTAAAATAAATCCCCACTATTTAGTAGTTTACTTAGGCCATAAAAAAATTCTTTAAGATTAAGTATTTAATTAATTACTTACATTTGTAGCTTAATTTTAAATAAAATTTCTATGTTAACTTCCTCAATTTAATTATTTAAAATAAGAATTAACACAATTCAACCATATAAGATCTTTTTCTCTAGAATTTTACCTCTTTTCTTAATCTTTCATCTATTAATTAATTTTATCCAATTTTAATTTTTTATTTATAATTTTTTTTATTTAATTTAAAATTCATCTTTGTAGAAACTTCATCCAAATTGTGGTTTTGACTCTATACCGAATTCTTTTGAAATAACATCCAAGTCCACTTTAAGTGAATTTTTAAGTATTTATTATTTATTATTATTTATTATTTATTATTTTTAAATTCAAGTCTTCTAATTTATTTCAATTCAATTCTAATTGAGGTGATATAATTTAAATTTCAATATTACAAAGTTACAAAAACTTTAATCCAATTTGTATCCTTACACCTATAAATCTTCAAAATAGCTATAAGTAGTGAAGAAATCAACCTTTTGATTCCAAATTTGATATCCTTAAATCTACAATAACTCATTTTTTTAGTGCTTAGCTTAATTTCAATTTTTTTTTAATTTTGGATAATGAATTTGTTAGATTCTTGGATGGCTCAAATGTGCATTCATTAATGTCATATCCATGCCAATGTACTAGATATTCTAATCTATTTTGATGCCACCTTGAATCTAAGATTTCTTCAATCTCAAATTCTTCATTATTATCCATTTCTATAGAAGGTGGTGGTATTTGTCTCATTCCTTGTATATTCATTGTCTTGTAAGACTCAAGTAAAGACAAATAGAACATAAGATGGATTTTCACAAATGGAAAATGTCTCAAGCCTATGATAATCCAGTTTATCTCAAGGATGAATAGTTTTAATATTACAATGAAGTATCCATACTTTATCTCCCTCATAGAATTGAAGTTGTTCCTTGCAATAGACATATGTATTGGCTTTTTGTCATTCTTGAGCTTTTATTAATTATACCTTCATTGTTGCATGTAGCTTTGACAATCAATTTGCCACATCTTTTGCCACAAGATTATCAACTTTTGAAAAGTTAAAAGTATTAAATCGTGGATGATAACTACAATTGGTAAAAAAAAGTATTTTTTGAGTAGAAGAATGTAGCAAATTATTGTAAGCAAACTTTACCAATGACATAAGAGTTGTCTAATCATCTTATTGATAGTTGATGGTACACGTCAAATATTGCTTTAAAACTTGATTCACTCAATTTGTTTGTCCATCAATTTAAAGGTGGAAAGTCAAAGATAGTTTTATATCCACCTTCAATATCTTGAAAAGAGTTTTCTAAAATCTCGATAAAAATTGTATTCCTCTGTCTAATATAATATTCTTTGGTAATCCATAATAGCAATAGATGTTGTCAAAGAAGAGTTTAGTTATTCTTTCACATGTGATAGATTTTATACATAGTATAAAATATGCCATCTTATTGAAATAATCTATAATCATGAATATGGAATCATATAAATTTAAAATTAAAAGAACTGTGATAAAATCCATAGAAATAGAAGACCATGGTTGTTTTGATATAGATAATGGTTGGAAGAGTCTATAAGGTTGATGACAAGGAGTTTTTGATCTTGAATAAACATCACATGTCTGCACAAATTCTTTAACAGCCTTTTACATTTGAGGCCACCAAAAATCTCTAGATATAAGCTCCAAAGTCTTATTATATCCAAAATATCCTATTGCAAGGAAATTGTGACGAACTTCAAGAGTACGTAATCGTGCTTCTTCTATTAGATCATATAAGCATCTTTCAAAATAAAGTAGGTTCTCTTTAAATTCAAACTTAGAAGTAACTTGAGACTTAGAGGAATTTTTTTAATATCATGAATAAAAAGATCTAAAGACATATTTTCTTAGATCTACTTTAAAAAAGTCAAATCAATAGTCAATGTTAATTTTATTGCTTGGAGATGAAATTATTCTTGCTTTAGTAAAATTATCTTTTGTTGGTCAAAAGTTGCTTTTCCTTCTTTTGGTGTAAGATAAGAATGTCTAGAGAGGGCATTAAACAA